GAGGTGCTTTAAAGGGAATGAAAGATGCAAATTCAACATATTCAGCATGCTGACAGTGTGCTGTGTGCTTTTGCATGCTAAAAAGTTTTGCGGTAACTGTCAACACGCTAAAACCCAAGAAGTTGTCTTCAGATTTACCCACTGCGACTGCATCCATCAAGTGAGCACTTTAGTAACAAGTCACATGACAAAATTTCAAGAAAATTGCTATTTCTTGTGCGATTAAAAAAAAAGCTTTAAGCTGTTTATTTATTAGAATGTGTGAGTTTTATTAAATGAGGGTTTATGTACATATGCGTACTTTATTATCTTTGAACCACAGAGTTGTATTACCATCTCTTTTGGCCCCTTAATTATATAGGGTGCCCTTAACAACTCTTTCTTTTGATGTTCAGGCTCTTTACCACTTAGCACTTTACCACCCTGATACATATCTGCATAAATAGCAAAATCGGTAAATGTTGCAGTTGAAAATTAGTAATAAGATAGCTGTTAATGCAAGATGAACTGTTGGGTGAGAAATTAGCAAATTGTGGCTCTTGAACTGTGGTTGGGTTTATACTTCAAAAATATTCCTTAAAGGGATAGTTTATCTGCTTACCCCCAGGGCATCCAAGATGTAGGTGACTTTGTTTCTTCAGTAGAACACAAATGAAGATTTTTTAAACCGTTGCAGTCTGTCAGTCATATAATGGAGGTGAATGGGAATCACGGCTTTGAGAGTCAAAAAAACATAACCAAACAAAACCAAATTAAACCCTGCGGCTCGTGACGATACATTGATGTGTAAAGACACGAAACGATCGGTCTGTGCAAGAAACTGAACCGCTGCTGTATCTTCATTTGAATCTCCCACAGGCACATCTCTGCAAGTTTGGCTTTATATTCCACTCTTATATTTTGAGTTACTGGCCTCAAACATTGAAATGGATGTATACCGAGAGCTCATTTAGCAAAATGCTCTCAGAGCTTTTTGAATTATACTTGCTTGAATATAGTTGCCTGTTCATCGTTCAGTAAATCAGCACTGTCACTCTTGTTTAATCTTCCTCAGTTATTTTAATTTAGGTATTTTGAAGAGTTGTTAGTAGATATTGTAATCTGAAGACTCATTAAATGACCATCTTGATTTAGGCCTAATTTCTAATTCTTACAGGCATAATTTTGTCATGAGTACTTTACATTTTCTAGGTTTTCGTACCCCATTTTTAATACATTATGGCTAAGCAAGCACTATTTTAACTTGGCTGAATAACAGGTCTTAAATTGCGTGCACCAGAATTTTACATAAAATCGTAATTGGTGCATTTTGTGTCGCAGAATTATGCATATGACATCTGTGAGTGTCTTTCCAGTCCTAAGCAACTTAAGTGTGCATCTACAGTCTAGCTGTTGTTTAAAATAATGGAAATGTGACATTTTCCCAAATGCTTTATGGCATTTTGGGGGAGAGTTATTGAGATAAAGGCACTGTTGGGAAGCTGGCTTGGTGTAATTATGTGCAGGGACCCTCAAGTCCTGCTTTTTTAGAGCATTTCAATGCAAAGATGTGGGGCCAGACTCTTTGAACATTATCACTATGAAGAAACTATTGTTACCTTGGAGACTGGTGAAACATTGTGATGTATTGATAATGGATGGCCAAACTATGGGGAAAAAATAAGTACTGTGCTTTTTACTACACCAACAACTGGCAAATGGAGCTAGTGATGTATTCAGACGGTTGGCAGCACTGCAGTGCAGGCTTTTTATTTTACACGCATAGGAATGAGCAGGACCATTGACTAGTCAACTAATTGATTAGTGAGCATAACTAATTTTTTTTTTATTCTGTGTTGGAGCTGAGGTGCTTTAAAGGGAATGAAAGATGCAAATTCAACATATTCAGCATGCTGACAGTGTGCTGTGTGCTTTTGCATGCTAAAAAGTTTTGCGGTAACTGTCAACACGCTAAAACCCAAGAAGTTGTCTTCAGATTTACCCACTGCGACTGCATCCATCAAGTGAGCACTTTAGTAACAAGTCACATGACAAAATTTCAAGAAAATTGCTATTTCTTGTGCGATTAAAAAAAAAGCTTTAAGCTGTTTATTTATTAGAATGTGTGAGTTTTATTAAATAAGGGTTTATGTACATATGCGTACTTTATTATCTTTGAACCACAGAGTTGTATTACCATCTCTTTTGGCCCCTTAATTATATTGGGTGCCCTTAACAACTCTTTCTTTTGATGTTCAGGCTCTTTACCACTTAGCACTTTACCACCCTGATACATATCTGCATAAATAGCAAAATCGGTAAATGTTGCAGTTGAAAATTAGTAATAAGATAGCTGTTAATGCAAGATGAACTGTTGGGTGAGAAATTAGCAAATTGTGGCTCTTGAACTGTGGTTGGGTTTATACTTCAAAAATATTCCTTAAAGGGATAGTTTATCTGCTTACCCCCAGGGCATCCAAGATGTAGGTGACTTTGTTTCTTCAGTAGAACACAAATGAAGATTTTTTAAACCGTTGCAGTCTGTCAGTCATATAATGGAGGTGAATGGGAATCACGGCTTTGAGAGTCAAAAAAACATAACCAAACAAAACCAAATTAAACCCTGCGGCTCGTGACGATACATTGATGTGTAAAGACACGAAACGATCGGTCTGTGCAAGAAACTGAACCGCTTCCTCAGTTATTTTAATTTAGGTATTTTGAAGAGTTGTTAGTAGATATTGTAATCTGAAGACTCATTAAATGACCATCTTGATTTAGGCCTAATTTCTAATTCTTACAGGCATAATTTTGTCATGAGTACTTCACATTTTCTAGGTTTTCGTACCCCATTTTTAATACATTATGGCTAACTAAGCACTATTTTAACTTGGCTGAATAACAGGTCTTAAATTGCGTGCACCAGAATTTTACATAAAATCGTAATTGGTGCATTTTGTGTCGCAGAATTATGCATATGACATCTGTGAGTGTCTTTCCAGTCCTAAGCAACTTAAGTGTGCATCTACAGTCTAGCTGTTGTTTAAAATAATGGAAATGTGACATTTTCCCAAATGCTTTATGGCATTTTGGGGGAGAGTTATTGAGATAAAGGCACTGTTGGGAAGCTGGCTTGGTGTAATTATGTGCAGGGACCCTCAAGTCCTGCTTTTTTAGAGCATTTCAATGCAAAGATGTGGGGCCAGACTCTTTGAACATTATCACTATGAAGAAACTATTGTTACCTTGGAGACTGGTGAAACATTGTGATGTATTGATAATGGATGGCCAAACTATGGGGAAAAAATAAGTACTGTGCTTTTTACTACACCAACAACTGGCAAATGGAGCTAGTGATGTATTCAGACGGTTGGCAGCACTGCAGTGCAGGCTTTTTATTTTACACGCATAGGAATGAGCAGGACCATTGACTAGTCAACTAATTGATTAGTGAGCATAACTAATTTTTTTTTTATTCTGTGTTGGAGCTGAGGTGCTTTAAAGGGAATGAAAGATGCAAATTCAACATATTCAGCATGCTGACAGTGTGCTGTGTGCTTTTGCATGCTAAAAAGTTTTGCGGTAACTGTCAACACGCTAAAACCCAAGAAGTTGTCTTCAGATTTACCCACTGCGACTGCATCCATCAAGTGAGCACTTTAGTAACAAGTCACATGACAAAATTTCAAGAAAATTGCTATTTCTTGTGCGATTTAAAAAAAAGTTTTAAGCTGTTTATTTATTAGAATGTGTGAGTTTTATTAAATAAGGGTTTATGTACATATGCGTACTTTATTATCTTTGAACCACAGAGTTGTATTACCATCTCTTTTGGCCCCTTAATTATATTGGGTGCCCTTAACAACTCTTTCTTTTGATGTTCAGGCTCTTTACCACTTAGCACTTTACCACCCTGATACATATCTGCATAAATAGCAAAATCGGTAAATGTTGCAGTTGAAAATTAGTAATAAGATAGCTGTTAATGCAAGATGAACTGTTGGGTGAGAAATTAGCAAATTGTGGCTCTTGAACTGTGGTTGGGTTTATACTTCAAAAATATTCCTTAAAGGGATAGTTTATCTGCTTACCCCCAGGGCATCCAAGATGTAGGTGACTTTGTTTCTTCAGTAGAACACAAATGAAGATTTTTAAAACCGTTGCAGTCTGTCAGTCATATAATGGAGGTGAATGGGAATCACGGCTTTGAGAGTCAAAAAAACATAACCAAACAAAACCAAATTAAACCCTGCGGCTCGTGACGATACATTGATGTGTAAAGACACGAAACGATCGGTCTGTGCAAGAAACTGAACCGGATTTATATCATTTTTTTTTATCTCTGATTCACCACAATGTCCGAACTGTCCTGAGCGCATTCTCAACAGCCGGCGCGTGACACACAGGATGGTTTTCTTCTGATTGATGCACAAGGATTTGTGTTTCTTTATTGTAAAATGAAAAGGACTGTTTGGCTGTGAGCCCTCGGTGGGCCTGATCACCTGCCACGATGGGGAATCAAGTGAATTTGACTAGCACATGCAGCTGGACAGGTGACTGTGGAGCGTTTGGGTATCTGCAGGCAACAGTCAAAGATCCTCAAAACAACCAGCGTGTTGAACATACATTTCACTTTAGATATCAGTCGAAGTATTTCTGTACAGATGCTTGTCTGTCTCACCATCCGTCTCGACGTGTTTTCATGTCAGGTTTACTAAATGGTGCATCTGTATCATTAGGCCCACACAGAGTCTAGACCTCAAAGCGCCACGAATTTCCACAACGAGTAAATCTAAACGCCCATCTTTAACACGCTTCTACATGTCCCTGCCCCTCGCATGTCCGTTTTTTTTTTTTATATTCTGGCTAATTTTGTTTTACCAATAACTCTTGTAGTAGCACTCTCAGCTCCATTTAACACATTTTAACATGTTTAAATTTTACTCAGATTTCCCCCCATAATCAATGTGGAAAAATTGTGTTTTACAGAAAGTAACTGCTGTGTTTCTCTCTCCCTGTAGTGTCCAGATTCAGCTTGCAAGCAGGATCTGTTGGCCTATCTGCAGCGTATCGCCCTGTACTGTCACCAGCTCAATATCTGCAGTAAAGTCAAAGCAGAGGTGCAGAATCTGGGTGGAGAGCTTGTGGTGTCTGGGGTAAGTCCTCATTTACTGAGAGGGAGAAAAGGATAGAAAGGCAGACTTGTGCCTATGTGGCAAAAGAAAAACTAATTATGTGAAACAAAATAAAATTACTGTTATTTTCAACCATCTGTACCTCCACGACGAGAACAAATCATGCTGCTAAGCTAATATATTTTCCTTTTTCTTTGTTTGTTTTACAGCTTAGTAGTACTTTCAGCTTGCCTATTTACAGCCCTTATTTTAAACTCATTTTAAACTTACTATTTGGTTAATTTTAATTTGTTATCCTAAATTACTTTGTTGCATATATATAAGGATTGTATTTAGAAAATCTTGGCAATTTATGTCCTTTAATGTACAACCAGCTATTTTGTTAAATGTTGGTAAATTAATTAGAATAGCTGGTTGTAAATTAAAGGACATACTTTCTGGGTTAAATACAGGGTCTTTGGAAACCTGAAAAAAATGTAACGTTGTTGAAATGAATAAAGGCTTTCAAAATTCTATAATGAATATAAATTTTAAATATAAAATATTTCCACTAGATATTGTGCTTTAAATGCTTGTGTAGAGTAAAACAAACCTGCAACTAGAAAATTGAAGACATTTGTATGGTATTAATTATGATCATTTAAATGTATTTATTCAAAAGATTAGTGCCTGACATACTGAAAGCTGAAATATGTCCCAGTAGTCTGTCAAATTCTAGAAAACACAATTCCATATCCAATAATAATGAACGACTGAAAGTGTCATGGGAATGCTGATCCATTGGTCAGAAAGTGTTGGAACTCCTCTAAAGGTCTTTTCAATTTCCTCTCAATTTGCAGGTGGACAGCGCTATGTCTCTGATTCAGGCAGCCAAGAATCTGATGAATTCTGTGGTGTCCACTGTGAAGGCCTCCTACGTGGCCTCCACCAAGTACCAGAAGTCTCAAGGAATGCAAAACCTCAACATGCCCGCCATCTCCTGGAAGATGAAAGCTCCCGAGAAAAAGCCGCTGGTCAAACGCGAGAAGCAAGATGACGGTCAGACCAACAAAGTGAAGCGGTCCTCTCAAAAGAAGCACATCAACCCTGTGCAGGCCCTGAGCGAGTTCAAAGCAATGGATAGTATTTAAGCGGCCTTTACCGCATTTCAGTAGATTATACTTCAGAAGTAGATTGAGCCTTGAAATCAGTCAGATTTAGCAAGTACACATTTTAAACGCGTTCCTGTACCTTAGTCCACAATGTGCTTTTTTTTTTTTCCATAAGCAGTGGCTATGAGTGCACTAAGGTCTATAAAGCAAATGTTATATTTTTACACTTGAATGCATTCATCTGCTCAATCTTTACACAAGATTTCTTCCTGAGGACAGGTAGGGGCATACGTTAAATTTCAGGCATTGCCTCAGTTTATATGTACGTTTCCCCCTTTTCTAGATGACTATTGTATATTTTTTAAAACATTTAAGTGTATTTTACAAGAAGACTTTTATATATTTCACACTAAGGGCTTTGATATTGCCCATTACCATGTGATTTTTGTTTTTCCTTCCATTCTTCATGCCTATGCAAACTCACTGTAACACTTGCAATACTTGTTATATAAAAGAAAAATAGGCTTTGATTTAGTGTCAGTCTCGAGACCAAAGTCTTTGTATTTTGCTGTGCCTAATAAACTTTTTGATAACTCTTTTGTTTTTTCCTTTGATTAACTGGAAAATAGACTAAGGTTGGTGAATATTGATGCTTTATATCTTTAAAATAAATTATCCTGCATGGAAAACAGTGAATTGATGTGAAACTCGAGAAACAAAGTCAAACTAGTTGCTTGTCGCAGTCACTAGAGTTGCCTAAAGAGAGAATCTCAATAATGCCCTCGGTAATCTCAAGGAGCAGCAGGGCAAAGCTAAATGCGATTGAGAGTGTGAGAGCGAGCTAGTTCAATCTTCAGCCCTGTATTTAAATTCAGAAGACTGGCCTTAGGCCTCTCTTCTCCTCCTCCTTCCCATCCTCCCACCCCTCCATGTCTCAGACACTGATTAAATAAATCAACACACCTCTTATTCGGAGGAGCGCTCACTGAAATTGGAGAACTCCGGCTAAATGGGTGTGGACGGACTGGGCCAGAAGTATGTGAGCCGCTGAGCACAATCTCCCCAAAGGCCACGAAGGAGCTTCCAAATCACAGCGATCGATATTCCTCATAAGGCAGCATTAGTTAATGAGTTTATTATTGGCTCATCTTTTGAATATATCTTTGGGTAGGAAAACATCTCTCAGTGCTGCTGTGTTCATGTTAATTAGGTTTCGCTTGCGATGCTTGATTCATTGCGAGAAGCGTATGACCTCAAATGGAGTTGCTCAAAGATTTGACTGGTCAACGGGAAAAAGCTTTTCACGTTAGTCAGAGCAGTGGGTGGTAAAGTGTTGCTTCTTCAGCTGCGTTCTAGCCATGCATACACATTTCTATTATGCATGCATGTGTGATGACTTCTTTGATGTAGCTGTTCAGCACTTCCAACCTGATCCTGGCGGAAGCACTTTTACCTGTTTCTGCATTTATAAACGGTGTGTTGGGTCACCGGAGGTTACGTGACAGATGGCTTGAGAGATATTTTTGATTCGATTTGTGTTTATTGCAACTTAATTGCATGTCAGAGGTTCCTGTGGATTTAGTATTGGTTTGGGATTTGTTTTAATTTTTTGGCCCCACTTTATATTAAGTGGCCCTAATACCCGTGTACTTGCATAGTAACTAGATGTGTACGTAGTATGTAACCACAGTGTAAGTACACATAGTACATAGTATCTAGAGCGTTACTATTTCTGTAACTACACACGTGTAACAACCCTCCGAATGGTTTGTGTAAGTACAAATGTGTAACAGGACATATATAACTACATTTTGTAACAATATCAAGTCACCTTTATTTATATAGCGCTTTTAACAAAACAGATTGTGTCAAAGCAACTGTACAGCATTAATTAGGAAAATATTGTCAATAATGCAAAATGATAATCGTAAACACTCAATTTTCAGTTAAAGGCAGTTCATCATTGAATTCAGTGATGTCATCATCCAGCTCAGTTCAGTTTAAATGGTGTCTGTGCAATCAAGTCGACGATATCGCTGGAAATTAAGTGTCCCCAACTAAGCAAGCCAGAGGCGAGGCAACAGCGGCAAGGAACCAAAACTCCATCGGTGACAGAATGGAGAAAAAAACCTTGGGAGAAACCAGGCTCGGTCGGGGGGCCAGTTCTCGGACCAAACAGAACCAGCAGTTAAATTCCAGGCTGCAGCAATGTCACATTGTGCAGAGGACTCAACTGGTTCCTGTGGTCTTGTCCCGGTGGCCGTCTAGGAGACTAGGTCCTCACTGGGGATCTGTCTTTGTGGCTCATCTAGTTGTCCTGATCTCCGCTGACATTCAGGGCTGTAGAAGTTCTCTCTAGGTGCTGGTCCACCATCTGAGCTGGATACGTACTGGATCCGGGAGACTGCAGTGACCATCTGATCTGGATACAGACTGGATCTGGTGGCTACGGTGACCTCGGAATAAGAAAGAAACAGACTAATATTAGCATAGATGCCATTCTTCTAACGATGTAGCAAGTACATCGGGTGTTATGGGAAGTGTTCTCGGTTCCGGTTGAACTAATTAATGCAGCCTAAAAATCCTTTAACTGATTTGAATATTAGAAGCGTATTAGTGTGTTATGTGTAAGCCAAGTTAAAGAGATGGGTCTTTAATCTGACAGAGTGTGTCTGCCTCCTGTCCTGTATGTATAAGAGTAATCGGAACAATTTGATCCAGGGGGTGGAGATGGGTAGGTTTAGGGGTGGAAATGGGATCCAGGGGGTGGAAATGGGTAGGTTTAGGGATATATAAAGTGGGAGGAGTTGGTGGAGTTGGTGCACCTCTATAATACCAGTGTACTTACATGGTAACTCCTCAGGAACTGTCCACGTAATATAAAGTGTAACATTCTGGACACCAACCACAATTTATATGTAAAGCCTAACTGGCCGCTTCTGTGTAACATCCGAGTAATTACATGGAAAGTGTAACACTTTCTTCACAAAAAAGTGTTGTTAGTCCTGTTACACATTTGTACTTTTATTACCAAAAAGTCTTGTTACCAATGTCCTGTTACACATTTGTATTTACACATACCATGCAGTCGGTTGTTACATATGTGTAGTTACATAAAGATTACAGCTGTAGATACTATGTACCAATGTGTACTTACACTGAGGGTACATACTATGTACACATCTAGTTACTATGTAAGTACACAGGTATTAGGGCCACTTAATATAAAGTGGGACCATAAAAAAATAAAATGAAAACACCTACACGCATTGTCATTTCTAACCGAATAGGAGTTTGTTGTAGAGGTGTGAGAAAATGCGAGGTCAGTTTGACATCAAGAGGGAAATTGGATTTCCAAAAGCACAAAAGAACCCTCCACACAGTCACGTTTGCTCAATACCAAAATGCATGACGGCACACATAAAAATATACAACTTTTGGCTACAAGCAACTTTTTAAATTTGCAACAGACCATGTTTTAAGAGCTTAAAAGCCTGTCATGAAATATTCAGAGAAATTGAATTTATTGATTTGAAACCATTTATTGTTTTTTTGTTGAGTATCATGCTTTTATGACTCATGTAGTGTGATATAAGGAGAATATGGGACTCATACTCCTAGAAAAAAAGTTATTCAGAGGTCCAAAACGGAGTAAAAATATGTAATTTAGTGCAGTTTCAGTAAGTGTATATTTTGAAATATTACTAACTAAAGAAAATGTATTCATGTCAGGTCTATGACCTAAAGATGGACGTTTTTCAAATTACAAGAAAAGGTATTTTGCTTGCTGAAAAAGTTAATTAAAAAAAACAATCAGATGAAAGAAAGCATGTAGTAGTTTTTATGCTGATAATTTAGAGGCCTCAGAAAGTAGCCCATCAAATATGATACAGGCTATATTGGGTTAGGGCACAACAGTTAAACTTTACAGCAAGGATCAGGTTGTTAAAAGCATTAGGAATCATGAACTAACAAAAACAATACTTGCAGCATTTATTAATCTAGGCTAATATACTGTATTATTGCAAGTTAATTAAATGTTTACGCATGGAACGTGAGTTAATGGTGAGCAATAGCATTTATATTTTTTTTTACCTAGATTAATTCTGAAAAAACTATTGTTTATTGTTAGTGATGCCTAATGCATTCATTAATGTGATGAATTTAACCTTATTATAAAGTGTTGCTGGAACACTTTCTATAAAGCTGCTTTGAAATGATTTGCAAATTAAATCAATCGATTCCATATATAAATGTTTAGATAAGTATTTAATAAAACTATAAATATAAATGACACCATCAGTGGATTTGCAGCATTGACATGGAGCAGATCTAGTGTGTATGTGTCTTTAGGCAAACTGATTTCCCCCTGTGAAATATTTAAATGAGCTTGCTTCTAAAATGTGGTGAAAGGGCTTCATATTTCTAATATAACTGGAGCTTACGCTTTTACAGGATGTTAAATCTTTGATTAATGACATCTGTTATCACACCTGAAGGTGGTCTATATCAAAAGCCTCCATGACTTTAAGGACGCCCATTTGCATTATCTTGCCATTGTTTAAAATATGCTGTTAGACATCCAGCTAGTCACAGGTTATCAAACACTATTCGAATAAACGTCTGAAGAATATGACATGACTCTGATACCCGCAAGTGAAAAAAATACTTATTTTCTCCAAGCGGTTATTCAAATCAAACTGCTCCCTGTTGTCAATGGCCATTAAGCATTGCTATGCACCATATTTTACGTGGAATATCTTCTGTCATGCAACATACATGTTCAAAATGATCTTGTTTTGTTTTTAGCCAACAAATCCACTTTACACTCACACAGCTCATCTATAATAATATGTTTCTGATATTTCATTCTAGTGAGGAAAAGTATTGAGTGTCAAAGCCACGTAATGCACCTTTTCCTCAACACAGAGATTTTCAGATATGGAGTGATGTCCTCTGGCCCCCCGTTTCTCTCTCACATTACTCATACTGTCTGTGGTTGACCTTTCCCTCTAGACATTACAGTTCTCCAAATAGGAAATGTACTACAGTGAGGGAGGCAGAGTGGACGAGCTCTGTACAAGTTCACCGCTGAGACAAAGTGCATTTACACAGGGTTTTGCTGCTAAAGCAGAGCACGAAACCTTGAGTTGAAGACGTCTATTAGGGGAAGCTCAACTGTGTGAATTGATTACAAGTAGGATTGTATAATTTGTCGTTTGTTGCAAGATGGATCTGCTAATTGCTCAAGAAGCACAAAATAAACTTAAGGAAGCTGATTTCCATTGTTCAGTTTTCTCACGGGTTCTTAACACATTCCTTTTCTTTCTCCACATTTTAGCAGCCTACATGCTCGCATTCTGTCAGGCTTCAGCCGACGCCGTCAGCTTTTATTTGGAGTATTTGATTCGAGATGCATTATAATTGCTGCATCTGTCAAGGATGTGCAGTGCGTTTGACCTGACCTCCTGATTTGCCTCCAGTCCTTCAAACAATCAAGTCTCCTCCTTTTGTTGGAAGGTCATCTGGATGTTTCATGCATGCTGTTTGATGCTGAAAAACCTCTCCAGTTTTAACAGGAGTGCATCATTTGGAA